GATAAAGCCATGCATGTCTTCATGGGCCTAGGTACTACCTTAATTGTTCTTCTGTCTTCCCACAGGACAGGGCCATGGATCTGTTCTTCTCCTTATATACTCAGGTAAGTCTGCTTCTGTCTTCCTAGAGGACAGAGCCATGCATTTGTTCATCTACACAGACACTAAGGCAAGTCTTTGGATGTCCTCCTGCAGGACAGATCCATGCATCTGTTAATGTGCACAGATACTAAAGTAAGTCTGTTAAAATCCTTGTGTTGGACCCAGCTTCTTTTGAACTTTCTTGGTGGCCATGGAGTGAGTGTTTTGTCCCCTGAAGAGTTCAAACTTACTTGGCATCCTAACGGTAGGGCTCGGGGAAGTGGTTATGTCCTGCCGAGCGAGTACTTGCAATGGCATTAGTGGGAATTCATAACTTTGGCCTTTTTGCTTTCTGCCATTTAGAGATACAGGTCCTCTTTTCTGTGGATGGATCATCAAGTTGCCCTCATGCAGTGGAAACACAGCCTTCAAAAGACAAATGATTCTCCCATCCCTTTGAGTTCCTATGTCTCAGCCTCCGGAACCTAGCCTAGGTAACTCATTTGCAGTTTTGCCTTATTTACCCATTAATAAGAGCCTAGATGTACCCACTTGGATTTCTCCATATATTCTCTTTCCCTATTGGTTTGCAGCTGTAACTATACCACCTGGTATGACCTCCACTGTCTTAACCCCCTGGGTTTTTCAAGAAATCTTAAACTGTCTTTTTGGTATAGCTTGGCCCTACCTAACTTAGCCAACGTGCCTTCCCCAGCAGGGCTCCCTCATCCTGGGGGTTACACATGCTGTTTCCCACTTTGCCTGTCTCTTACACTGACCGACCTGGACTCACCCTGTTGGGTGTAACCACTTCTGCTTACCCAGCAGGCCTCCACTACCTAGTCTTACTCTGTTGGCTTTTGTTTTGTTTCTTAATCTGGTGATTTTGTTGTTGTTCACGTGTCTACCTGTGCTGGCGACTGAATTCAGGGCCACGCATATGCTAGGCCAACCCTCTACTACTGTCCTGTACTGGCCCCTCTTCTCCTATAGTAAGCACATAGTTTTATTCATCCATCCTCAACTTTTGGCTTTAAGGCTTGGCTTTATTCTCCCAGTGGAAAAACCCCGGACATCACTGGCCCTTCTTTGCAGCCTGGCTACAGCCTGTTACTTCACATCCATGGTATCTCTATGTTGGCCTCATCCTTCTGGCCTGAATCTCCTAGGCTCAACTTCTTAGCGTGACATAGCTGCCTTAGTAGTAGCCTTACTTGTGCCATAGCTACCTGACCTTAGCCCACTGTCTTTACCCATCTGACTTCATGCTTTGGACTCAGGCTGTGGTGTTAGCCATGTAATTATCTGGCTTCAACCTCCTGGCCTTAGCACCTGGTCGTAAACATGTGGCTATTTAATTCCTAGCCTCAAACATACAATCTTAGCAGCCTGCCCAGCCTGCTGTGGCCTCGTCCTCCTGGCTCTCCTCAGCCTTCTCATCTCTTGGCTTTGCTTCTAATCCTCGGTGAGCTGGCTTAGCCCTTACCCCTAGCCCTCCTGGGCCCTGGGACTAATTATTACCCTCTGACTGTATCCCAGTGTCCTCATCCACTGGGTGTAAGTTACCCAGGTTCATTTAGCCTCACCTCTGCTCTAAATTCTTTACCTTTGCCCTTTGTCTTTTTCTAACCTTACCCACTGGCCTCAGTCTCCTGCCTCCCATCTCCTGTTGTGCACCTGGTTACCCAAATGACCTGAGTGACGTGACATTGGCTTATCAGCCTGGCTTAGTAAACTAGCCAGCCTTTCACCCCAGCTTAGGATTCTAGCCTTACCCCAACTTTCAGCTTTAGTCTTATGTGGTATTAACCACTTTACTTTATTCCCTTGACCCTAACATCCCTTCTTCATCATTTAACTGTCTTTATGTAGTTCTCCTTTCCCACTAGATCCCTACTGGCCTTACGCACCTCGTGTGTACCAGTTACCTGTATTCAGCTATTTTTGACTTGCTCGTCTACACCTTCCAGATGCCAAGAGGCCTTATACATCTGGCCCTTCATACCTGACACATATCCCCTAGACTTCTTTACCATTTTGCCTTGCCTGCTTAACCTCACCCAGGGAACATAACCTCCCAGCTTACCCACATGGCAGTACACACCTCCCTTTAACTTGTAGCCAACTCACTTGGCCTTATGTCCTAGTTTACCAAGTGGACATGAACCTTGGCCTTTCCCTCCCGGTGTTAACCATCTAGTAGGACTGAGGTGACCTCTCCAGGCTTCATGGATTTGACCCTATTGCTGCTGACTTTGGGAGAAATAAAGAGGCCATGCAGGCTGCATACTCATTGCCAGGCTCTCATAGCTGTGATGAGATTTAGATCCAAACCTATTCTGACCTCTGGGATTCTTCCACAACTGTGAAGCACAGTATAAGAAACACATGGCAAGCAAGGAACCTCTAGTTTGTCAGAAGGTATTGGAGAATGGGAAGAAAGGCAGAACAATGAGTGAAACCAAAGCTCACTTTACTGCAATACCATTTCTCAGGGATATTTTGAATGTTTGAATATAATGCATTGTGTTCTCCTTTTAAAAATTTCCCCATTTCTAAGAAAGCAATCTGCTTCTTAATCTTGTAGCTTACTCCACAGGAGCTGTTTAATTTTACAATTAGTCTGCTATCATTGCAAAAATATCACATTTCCAAGGTAAAGCAAGCCCCTCAATTCAGCCCCTCTCTTGACACCTATGGAGCACCCAGCCCCATCACCAGTGCAACCCGGGACGTGAAACTGACCTCAGTGCTTTGTGTGTGTCTCTCATCCCCTCTTCCCCCAGTGCACCTTTCACCTCCTCTCTGATCTACAGTGGTACCCTGCTACCTTGCCCTCTGTTTTGCCGATAGACACCTTTGTATCTCTCATGCACAAACTACAGCTCTCCAGCACCTTCCAAGAGTGTTCATCCACTCAAACGTGGTTCTTCTACTTATGTCTATGTTTGTTAGTGACCAGCCCAATCTACCATCCCCACTCCACCTGAGATAGAATGTACCTCTAGCACACGCTCTGTTTTACCTTCTCAACCCTTCTAACCGCACATTAACAAAAAGATACTGGCTATAAGCCTCTCCTCTTCTGCCCCCGCCCACCCTACAGTCCCTGTGGGGCCTCCACAGCACCCCAGGTAAAGGCATCCATCACTCCTAGTCGGTTACAAACCTGTTTTAGATAGTGGCTGGGGTCCAGGACCTTGCCCATAGCTTAACTACCCTACGTCAAGCCTTCTGCCACCTCTGTCACCCCTGTTACGGGACCTCTACTTAGAAACCTTAATATTCTGATGCCCACAGACCTATGCATAAACATCTCATCCAAAACACCCACACAAATCCACCATCTTCCAAACCCACAGGGACTCAAGATCTTTGGTGTAACTCCTCTCTCCCCATCTACAGACAGACCAATTACAGAGACATCAGCCCCCCTAAGACCTACCGGATGTCACCAGGAGGTCTCTTATTTGTTTTTGTAGTAAGACTGCTGTTTTTTTATGACTCTAGAATTGTACAAGACACCACCAGAAACCTCAGAAATCAACGAGCAAAACACTGAAACAGATTGCTTCTCCTCGCTGACTACAAGGTGGCTGCTACCCATCCTGGGACCCTTCATTGTCATCATCTGTATGCAGCGCCTTGATCAATTTTTTTCCAAGGCTGGATTCATCCAGCCACTAACTTCCTCACCTCCCAAAAGCTGATGAACAGATATCCCTACCGGTGTGAGACCCCAACCCCACCTACCAACTCAGCTCCTCCCCCTGACAATGGCCCCAGTCAGCATGAAGCTGCTACTTGAGACAGCTCATGACCTCATCCCTTATAACAAGGAGCCGTGAATGTAAGGCCTAAACCCACCAGGCCTAAGCACAGCATCCTTCATCCTTCAGCAGCCTTCTTGGCCCTAGCAGCAGCTCGGAAGGAGGCCTCAGCACTTAGTCCCTCTTCCCATGTCCTCAGTGAAAGCCTGCTCTCTTTCATTCCGTGTCGTGGCACTGG